TCTGTCTTTACAGCAATGTACGATGTGTTATTGATGGGCAAAATACAGAAAAGGTTTGACATTTCTCTGATATCTTGCATTTTTATTCTCTTATAATTTCAAGTATTTCCCATTCTGTGCCACTACCGTATAATTCAACATTTTAAGCACATAGTTCCTAGCAGTGTCAGCTTGTATTTTAAGCTTGTCTGGTTATTTTGACAACGTGAGGAATCATAAGTGATGTAAGCTGTTTCTCTCCTTAGAAGCAGGACCCAGCCCTGTGCTGCCCAGATAAGAGCAGCGAGACAGAAGCTGCTTTAGAAGCAGCAGGACGTGTTTGACTGCACTTCAGCTGCTCTGTAACCAAAGAATAGAGCAGGCAGCACTTTGGAAATGAACTGAAGCTACGTAGAATAGGGGAAAAAATCAGATTCAAGTCCTGCTGTAGTCTGAGACTCCTCAGAGATTTGGAGAAGTGCAGTTTGCAGCAATTTAGCCTTGAAATTGTGGTTGTGACCGTGCTGTGTGTGTGACAGAGCCTGATCAGCACATCGTTAGCTTTCAGCTTTCGCTCAGATATGGAGCTGGGAGCTCAGGTGCTCGTGGGCAGCAGTGGGAGCAAAGCAGGGCTCTGACCTGTGGGACTTCAGGAGAGATCAGCCAGGGGAGGGAACTGAACCTGCCCCATGCTTAAGTGGGACTTGGGCATCCAGTGAAGCAGGACGGTGTCCACAAGCAGCAGCACCTTGTTTCTTTCCTGAGCTCAAAAAAAGCATGAATTCTGCTATTTTCTTGAAGGATAGACAGTGAGGACCTTAGAAAGACCCCTGAGACATTTCTCTGTAGTTCCCGTTTTTGGTGCTGAGAAACTCTGCCCTCCTCCTTGTCTCAGCTTTTCCCAGATTTGACCGTGCTGTTCCTAAAGCATGTGTCAGCCACTGCCTCCTGATCCTTTGGTCAACATTTTCATAGATGTGATCATTAAGAACTATAACTGATAATCTTGAGGACTGGCAGCTGTTATCAATGATAGATGGCTTCTTCTGGGAAACCTCTGGCTCTGATAGCTCCAAAATATGACATAAGCCTCATCTTTTCAAAAAAGCCTTTACCAGAGGGGTCTAAATTAAAGCACGGCCCTTCCCATTGCTTTATAGACGATAGCTAATTAGCTGCAGAATAGATAGCTTTGCTCCTGCTGAGGGCAGACAGAAGTGGGTGTTGGATATTGAAGTATTTCTGTGTTTGCTTTCAGTGCATCCGTACGGACAGATGATGAAGTCATTAGAATAAATATCAATACATGTATTGAACTTTCCATTATTCTGAGTTTACCAGAGTTGGCTAAAAAGAGGACAGTTCTTGAGAAACATCTCATTTTTATTATAGTTCTGCAATAGATCAATTTCAGATCAATTTGTACATTTTGTCATCAGTCCTATTAGTAGACTGCTGCCAAAATTTGCGATCACAGTTGAGGAGCTGACATCTGAACCTTCAATTTATTCAGGAGGGCTCCTCATGATCCTTGGTTTCCAGCTCTGAGGAAGCATTAGCCCCAGGCTGCAGTAGGATTCTGTGTCCTCTTTTCCTCCTGTGTGTGAAAATGACTCCAAGAGATTGTTCTCCTCCAGGCAGGAAATCCTGAAAATGCTGAGCTTTTCACTTAAATGCCTTGCAAGCAGTGCTGATTCGATTGCCAGCCTTGTTTCCTCTTACAGTAGCTATAAAAGTCTCCTCCTCCCACCCCAGATCAAATTTAAAATGGCCTATTTTAATATGCTTCTTTTAAGCGTGTCTACATGCTAGATATGAAGAGTTTGAGCTTATCTTGTGTTATGTAAATACTGCTGTGCTTCCAGATTAAAGGTTTTTTTTTCCCCTTTGATCCAGTCTTGTAGCCAGTTCAGCTCTCAGGAGCCAGAAGAGATTTGTGGAGTTTGGCAACAGTGTTGTTCACAAGGAAGACTGCAGAAAGGAAACTCAACATCACCGCTATGAACAGCTCTTTAAAAATGAATGGCTAACTGAAAGAAGTCTTGCGGTGAGCAAATTTTTGCTTAAAATAGTTTGGGACCAAGTGTAAAAAGAGCACTGCCACATTCATGTAGCATGGTGGTGCAAGCAGCCACTCTGCTGCAGCCTGGGGTGGTCGTGCCCCATGCTCCCACTGATGGCCCCATGCTCCCATTGATGGCAGACCAGACCCTGGGCACACAGGTGTTGTCCTGTGAGGGAAGGGAGCCACGGCTGTCCTGTTGTTTGTGGGGATCCCATGGAAAAACTAATGGTAGCTCTTCTGGAAACTCAAGCGCAAGTGGAACTTGGCTGAGATTTGTTCTTCTTTGCTATTTCCCTCAGTTAGAAGCTTGGATCAGAGAAACTCAGATCAGGCCCCCAGCACTGGATACTGTGGTTGCTTGAAAATAATTTATTAATAGTATTTGTATTTCATGTTTCCAAGGCAACAGGAAAGCTCAGGACATTGGGTTTCCATACATGAGCAGGAGGTTTTGGCTGCAGAAATGTTTTCCTCTGTCTCACCTATCTGCTATCAAGGCACTGAAAGCTGTGCTTTCTCTCACTGTAGTCAGTTTCTCTCTGATATCCATAAAACGATGAAAGTCAGATAGATGCAGCTGATGAAATAATCTGTTCTTGCTGGAGAACTCGTTCAATCACCAGAGAGCTCCAGTGTTCAAATAGATAAATTAGTGTTGTGACAACGGTAACTTTAAATGCCTCAGTTCAGTGGCAATGTTGGGAAATGAGACAAAAACTAAATTACTTGTCTGCTTTAACTGTGGTCCTTCTTGGATTGCTAATGAGAGAGATTCTTGTTAAACATATGTCCTTTTGGATAGACTCCTTTACCGGTCCTCCCTTGGGAAAATGATTTAGTGTTTGTATCATATAAGACATGAAAGAGAGGGCTTTCCCTTATTTTCTCTGCCTCGTTTCCTTTTATGCCTTCAGCTGATGGAACAGGTCACTGCTCGTGTTCCAGCACAGAAAGATCCCCAAAACAGAAATCATCAGAGAGAGCAGTGCCACCAAAGGCCTCTCTGCCTGCTCCATTAATGGCACAGCGGGCACACCCAGGTGCTTTGGTTTCAGGAGAGAATTCACTTTCCTTGGAGATGGCAAAAATCAGTCTGTGCTTCCACTGAGAGCTGCAGAGCAGCTGGTGCACAGTGCCTGAAATAAGTCTGCTTGTATGCTGGAAGCACTGTCTGGCTGTGCAGAGCTGGGCCCTGCAGCAGGGCAGGGCAGTCGCTGAGGTTTCCATTTCCCAAACTGGGGAGGATGTGACCCCTCTTGAAGGGGCTCTTTGCTGATGGATGGCTCTGGTTTGTCCCCCCTTCCTAGGAATTGCTTTGACTTTGTCATCGGCTGAATTAGTGAACATCTTGAGGTTGCATCTTCTCCATAGGCTAATGGGATGTTTTTTATTCTTCCTTTTTCAGCACTTGCAGTGCTGCAACGTTCTGCCATCCAAAGGGGAATTAATCGCTGAGCGGCATGAAGAGTGCACAGCACAGACAACAGGCATGGCCCGGAGCTCAAGGGACTAATTATGTTCTTAAAGGGTAAGAAAATAATCTGAGGTGCACTGGAAAGAAAGTGTCTTAGTAATGCTCCATAATGCTCATGTTCCCAGTTATTGGCGTATCTCCGTATCTCCAATATTTGTCCATTAAAACATAAAGTAGAGACATTCAAAGATACGAAGATACTCACTGACCTAAAAAAAAATATCAGCAAGAAGCTCAAGAGAATATATTAAATGTATAAACTCGTTTGAGTTATAAGGAGTGTTGTGGCATACACTGTAACATGACAGTGAATGAGAGTGAGTGTAAGCTAATGATGGAGGAGGGAACCCATGAAAGATATGGTGAAGAGGGAGAGGTGTTTGAATCTGCTTATGGAAATAGCAGGGTTTGGGGTAGGGGGACTTTTCCATGGACCTGATGCACTACTGGACAAGTCAGAGATCAGACAATACGCAGCCACTGTCAGGAAGAGGAAAACATGACACCGGATCCAAAACTGGTGGCAGGCTGTGGTTATCCCAGACTCCAGCTTGTCTGCGTTTGTGGTAGATGACCTACAAGGAGATCTCCCAGAGATCACTGCATTTCTCTGTCAGAAGTGAGACCCTGCTGCTCTCAGCTCTTGCTGTGTTAGGAGCAGCTCTGAGCAGAACCCCTGCTGAGTTGGCAGCTGGTGGCTGCTCAGGAGACCGGAGCGTGGCCTGGAGGGGACATTGTCTGCCAAGGGCATGGTGGGGACGTGCTGGGCTTTGGGAGGGCTGCCAAGCAGTGCCTGTGTGCATCTCCTTGTCCTGCAGCCAGCACTGTCTGATGGTGTGATTCCAACCGATCCCATGGACAGCAGCGAGACTTCCATGTGCAGCCAAATGCCTTGGCTGGCTGCTGGAAGGACTTCCAAGTTGAAGGTGAAACATTAACAGCACTTCTGAAATGGTTACAGCTCCCACAGGTGGAGGGCACCAGCTCAGCTGGGTGCAGGCAGCTTCCCTTCTTCTTGCTGGGGCCATTGAAACAGATTTGAGCTTGGGAAAAGACAAATGCCCATACCTTCCTTACAAGCTGCCCGTCCTGCTTCCCAGCAAGACCTCAGCTGTATGTGTACCAGGAAAGCAAATAAGAAAGGTCTTCACAAAAAAGCTCTAAGAATGTAAAACTGATACCTGGAGATACAGGTAAGTGGCATACTTTTTTCCTCCCCCATTTTGTAGCTTGCACTGTATATGCATCTGATTTAAAGGCAAGTATTGTCTCTCTTTATCAAACAGGCTTGATGAAAGAACAATCATGTACATTCAGTTATATCTCTGCTAAACGTATCCATTTTTATTGCTTTCCAGTAGTTCAAAGCATTAGCATAAAACAATCAAGGAGGTTGTTTTTCCTAAGAGAGAGAGTGCCTGTTTACAAACTCATTTTATTTTCACAATAATGTACAATGTACATTGTTATTTATTTCAGACAGAAAGCTGTCAGATTAATGCATTCCCTCATGCAGGACAGCTTGCTTTATTGCCCGTTATTAAGATATAACGTATATAACCTGACAAGCACTGCCCACGTCTGCAATCCACCAGTGAAAGGCAAATTAAGTAGAAAATGGAGATCTCCAATATTTCTTGGGGCTCAAGTGATATTAGTTTTTAACTCATTTTGTATTCAGAGGGGATTCTGCCTATTCACAACACATCTGACAGAGTAAACTGCCCAAAGAAGGCTTTTTTTGATTCACAGAACAGCTACATCTGATTTCTGATACAAACTGATTTCAGAGTCACAGGAGTCAATTCCCCTTGCATAAATGTGTGCCAACAAAGAAGGAAAAAAAAAAACAAAAAACGACAAATTAGTTGGATGGTGCAAGAAACCAGTGAGAAAGCAATTCCTGGGGGAAGTGCAGTGCAAAGTGAGTAAGTGAGATGAGTAAACCCCATCCTAAAACAACCCAAGAAACAATCCTTATGGCCTCGAGGCTCCAAACCCCAGTGCTCACGCTGTCCCAGGAAGGGCTCCCAAATAAAGTGGTTACAGCTGCTGGAGGACACCAGGCACAGCTGGTAACACCTTAAGCTAAGTTGGTCCCTTTTCTGTGGTGCACGTATTCAAGCTAATGGCAAGACACGTGTGTTCTTTTTCCTTTTCACAATGATTTGTTGTCCAGAATATCCCACATCGTCCCCCTAACAGCATCCAACTGAGACTTTCCAGGGAACTGCTTGAAAGCCTCAAGTGAGTCTTGATGTTGCACTTAGGACTGTTAGTAAGCTTGGTGCAAGGTCCCAACACTGCAAACCTCACCTCATACAAGTGATGTTATTCATGTTTTTTCATTATTGCTTAATCTGATTTTTTTTTTTCCCCAAGGACTGAATTCCTGAACTCGATGAATGACAGAAACTGCTCTGGAGAAGTCAACAAGAGGTAGGCTGGCTTTGGGAACTCATGTTATCTCTTAATGACTCTTTATGTTTTCCTTCAATATTTTCCCAGTAATTACTTTTCTTTTTTTTCCTGACTCTCCCTGGAGTATTAATTCAGTCTTATTATCACAATTAAATATTAACTGAACTGAAATGAGATTAGGAACAGAGGTCATCTTAAAGGAAGGCTAATGTGAATACAGGATGAAATACAAAGCAAGGCCATGTGTCTAGTTACAGTAATCTGGAAAAGAAACCATGCTTTACTCAAGAAAAATGGTTTTGGTCTTGTTTATAAGTGTATATGCAATAGCAATGTTGGGATTATTATTAGCCCTTACTGCAGCATCTGGATCAGCTCCTTTCATGTAGGTTAGGTAATAGCCAGGTATTCCATGCTTTGAAAGCTTAAAATATGGTTTCTGTTCTGCTCATGTTCCCACTGAGCGGGTTTTAGTGCTAGAAAGTCACCAGCTTTATGGGAAACTGCAGTATGTGAGGAATAGGCAATCTGCAGGGGAAAACGCACCATGCAATTTAATGATAAATAGTGATATACTAAATAAATTATTTAAAAGAACCAACTCTTCTTTAATATAATTACATTCTATTTCATCTCTGAGGAGAGGAAGCAGCCTAATTGGGTAGACAGGAAACCAAGCCAAGGAAAGTGAGGTGGGTTTTCATCTGCCAGGCTGCAGAACTATGGGCAGAGGCAGAGCTCAGCAGCTGTAGCCCTTTCTCCTCCTCTCCCTCCTGCCTTCCTTTCTGTAGAAGCAGGCCTGGCTATGCAGGTGAGGATTTTAATGGCAGAAGAACTGCTGAGAAGGAAACCACTCCTGTCCTGCCATGAAGCGTCAGGTAGCAGAAATGAGGAACACAGACAAGGATTTTAGTTGCAGTGAATCGCCATGTGCAAGTATATAATATGGACATGCAATAATATCTGAAACAGTCTTGTATCCCTCTATGTAATAAATATTTTATTAGAATAGAAAAATGCATACAGATAACCATAGGATACACACACAACTGGAAGTTTAAGGAGAAATTTTAAACTTTTCAATATGAAACAAGGTACTCGGTACATATCTCATGGAGATATATAACTAGAAATTAAGTAATACACTGTAATAGCATGAAAATGGCAATACAGGAATGTGAACTGGAATTCTGTGAAACAAGAATAGAAAGATTCACCCTTCGTTGCAGGAAACAGAACTATATACTTACTGGTAACCCCTGTTTTCCATCTCCCACCCTCCCCCCTATTTGCAAGTGTCTGAAAACATCACTGGTTAGCCACATTGAAAAGCAACTAGCCATTTATAACTATATATTTACAGTATATACAGATCTTGCTTACTTCAACAGCTAGCACTATTTTCATCTGGATGTGATGCTGATCTATTTGAATGCATATCAGGGTATTCCTATAGTGTTATCGTGATACCTTTAATCCTGGCTCTTCATATTTGTGTGCTGTAATAATCTTGTGAGATAAAAATGAAGGTCTTTAAGATATGCTTTATGTCACCTCTACCATGGATGTGTCTAAAAGGCTGACTGGTCTAAATTCACAATGGTGAAAGTTGGGTATACCAGGTTTAAGGTACTGCTATGAAAGAAAGCACAGATTTCACTGTAGCGAGCTTGAGAATCTTGATGTGTTTTTAAAATTATAAACTGTAGTATTGCCATAAACTTACTAGAATTAGATGATAGCAATGGGGTGTATTAGAGTGCCGGACCAGGTGAAATAGTCTGAACTGATTAAAGGGCAGCTGGAAGGAGAATTATGAATGTATTATTGAAGTTACAGCGCGTGCGGTGCAGCAGACAAGATAATTTTGGGCTGCATATTTGGAAGCACCACATCACAAGGTAGGAAGGTGGTAACAGTTCCTTTTCATAAGGCCGTGGTGCAACTGCATTTCAGCAGTGCTTACAAATGGGCACTTGTGTTAGTGAAACACACTGACAGGAGTTCAGAGAAGGGCAGTAAGAATGATCCCGAAGGTGGGAGAACTTGGTTATGAATAAAGGATCTGGTTACTGAATATAAGGTAAGGATGGGAGGAGATTACCTTAGAAGTGATTAGGAGGAAGGTCAAGTGCTGGAAAGAGTACACAGATGTACGCTGGGATAGAAGAGAGCTTTCTTTGAAACGTGGCTGTGAGATCATTTCTTAGAAGTAGTGGAAGCCCTGCCTCTCAGACACCCCAATGTGGACTGTGCAAAACTAACATTAATACTGTGACTTCTCTAACTTTTAGCTTTGATTTCTTGCTAGATTTAGAATAACTTATGTGAAGGGCAGCAAGCCACTGACACTGTCTTAAAGAACTGCCAAGTAGTTCATGTTTTCCATTGCTTGAAACTGCATGCTCTGATCTCAGCTTTCATATGTAGAATGATGTTATCATAATACTGTAAAATATACTCAAAACAATTCATTGTCACTGTAAAAACTGAGTTTTTCACAGAGCCAAGCTCTTCCTTGTAATTGATCACAGTGCCATTTTAATTCACTCTTCTTATACTGTAGCTGAAGTACGTAATATGTAAACTCCTTTGGTTCAAGTATTAAGGCATTTCAGACTCCTTTTTAAAGGATTTGCTAAACTTTACATGGTATTTTTAATTCATCCTACAGTGAAATATAAAGAATTTAAAAACATGTCAGAAGAAAAACATGCATTAACCACTGCAGCTTGTTTGTTTTTTTTTTTAAAAAAGCACTTTTCTGTAATAACTGATTGATAATTTGTTTCTTCTAGCAAATGAAAATGCATCATCACAACACTGAATTAAGAGTGAAGGAAAACACTGTCGGTAAAATGCTGGATAGACTGAAGATATTCAAGGTTGATGGACCAGAGCCTCTTGCATCCATACCTGTGACAGATGAAAAAGGTCAGGATTAAATGAAAGCATGACTATCTGTTGTGTCAAATCATTACTCTTACTGGATACTAAGCAAAAAAACCTACTGTCATTTTTTATTTTTGATAAACAATGAAAATTTATAAATAGAAACGCTGCATATTTTTAAGCTACAGAAATGCACTGCAAAATATTTAAGCTATATTAATGGTCTTTACTGTCAAGACAACTATAACAAAAAAAAGAGAAAGTAAAAAATGTTTTTTAATACCAATTTACATGGTAATTTACCAGTTCAGAAGAATGAAGTTTGTCATGTGTAAGGGCAGGAAGACTCTTAATTGCTTTTCTTTTTAATACCTTATTACCATACTACATACACGCTTTCAATTTTTGTTCTCCTATCAGTAAGGACTCAATTCCTGTAAAGATAACCTGTGACAACTGCCTGGTGTCAACTGCACATTTAATAATGCATCACTATGCAAAGGCAGAGACGTGTCTCTGTATTGTGGGTGGTACAATGGAGGTTCTGATAGTGGTTGAGGACTGAACATAAAACACATGATAACACAACAGCAGTTCAGCTTCAACGTACTAGCTAGTCTGGGAATCAGGATCTGATCACTGCTGGTGCCATCTCCACCTTCAGTTGTTGCTTTTACTTCTATAATGTAATCTTCATTAAACTGGAGCAGAAGTTCAGCTGTTGTTTTGTCTGTGTTCAGCACATTCATATTGTTCTGACTGCTTGTCCTGTACAGAACCTGTAACAAAAGCAAACAGCATCTTTAGAAAATCCAGAGTGCAATATTGCTTCCAGTAGGAGCTGGCATGTAATTTTTATTCATGTTTCTTGGATAAAAGATTTTGGTCTTAAAAAGGCACAATGAGAGAAAAGGTCTAATTTTTGGTTAATATTACAGGGCACAATTGCATTCAGTACCTAGAGGAGTAGTAAAAGAAGTGAACATGGATATAAGTGTTTTACCTAACTTTAATCTGAAGTGGCAGAATCTGTGATAGTATATTCTGCTGACTGTTGAGTATTGTCATCATTTACTGTTTTTAACATTACCCCTCAATTTGGAGTCTGTCATTATCTAGGTCAACGGATTATGCCAATACATAGTATGGGAAAGGGGAGAACTAGTCAGAATGAGAAAATTATGGAGCTGTGTTGGAAGATGTTCCACAAGTGCTAATTGAACAAGTCTGTCATTACTGTTAATTACAGAAAGTGTCCTATTTTAAACACCAGGAGCTGCATTCCGTCAAAAGCCTGAAGCAAGAGCAATATCAGCTTCTCTTCTGGTCTTAGATCCAGAGCACACACCTGGCAGAGATGTACAAACTTGACAAGCAGGTAAGTCGGGGGTTTCCCAATGCAATCTGAAACTATAATGGCAATAGTAAATGGATGGCAAAAAATGCAAGGCCACTGGAATGACATATGTGATGATCCATCACCAATCCAGGATCCTCACCCTGAATCCATCTAAATGACAGTGGCCTCTCAGTACCTTCCAGCTCCGTGCTACACGCTGCCACCCTCGGGCCATGCTCCCTAATGCCATGCTGTGCTGAAAAAAGCTCTGAGGGACACAACCATCTGGCTGCCTTCCACAATGCCTGCTGCTCTGCTGCTTTCAATGTCATTTGTTGGATATTCTGCTTGACAACCCAGCTTTCTGTTAACCGCAGTGCCCTTGCTTCTAGGGATAAAAAACGACACCCCTAAATGCTTTACTTGGGTAAAATTAACCAGCATTATCAAAATTGAGCTTATTGGTAGGTTTTTAGTAGAGGAAACCTGAGAATGCTGTGGGAGACAAAGTATGCAATTTGGAACTGTACACTGGATTCCTTTTGTTTGGCTACCTATTGTGAAACCAGGTATGCTTTCAGCATTTATTTCTTGACAGCACACCCAGAACAATGCACAGTCATATCTTCATATAAACTTTTATACAGGTGTCACATGAGCTCCAGCTGTACACTGATGAAGAACATTCTCAGTAATTCTCATAAGCATAAACAATGTATTTAAATACTTGTATGTTTGTGCACTGATCAGCTCTGGCATAGATGTAGCAATGTAACTTCTAAGAGAGGGAGCAAATTCCACAGAATTAAGAAGAAAAAGGTTTGAGAATATCGATTTCTAGCCTGCTACTAAAAAAATATACTTACCCAGCAATAGGAAGCATCAGTGTATCATTAATGGCAAAAGGACTATGGTTTGTGAGATACACTTTGAATATGATTTTAAAGTACAGAAATGAGACAGTTATGAAATGTGCAAGGCAGGAAGTTTAGAGGATGCAAACAGATGAGGTAAGGAATGGAGAATTGCTTCCAGGTTCTCCTACAGTTGTTTTTTGGGTTGGTTTTTTTTTGCTTACCTTATACCCAGTCACCTCAGACTCATTCTCCATGGCTCTTACTTCTTCCCAGTTGAGGATGACTCTGGAGTCAGTAACGTTCCACACAACGTTTCCTGGTGGCTGACTGGGTGCTTTGAATACATAATAAAAGCATGACTAATTTAATTGGCATTAGTGATTTATCCTCCAGTAGGAAATAACAGTTCAGGTAATTGATTGTCATTACACGTCGGATGTAAAAGCAAGTCAAATACAGCCTCATCATTTGTACACTTTATGGTTCAGAGAATAAATTGGAAAAACAGAAGGAAAAGAAAATAGTAGCAAATAAATGTTATTTCTGAAGTTGCATTATCTGTTGATGGTGTTTCATTAAGTGCAGTCACAAAAATGCATACTTCTTAGGACACGGGTGATCAATTAGAACATGCTCTAATGAAACCCATGATGACAACAGACATTTCCTATTTGTAGTATGTTTTCAAGAATAAGTAAATACTCCACAATAAATTTAGTCTTAGTGAATATTCAAACCAATGTGCTATGCTGATTTACTGTAACATGGCTGAAATATAAAAATATTGAGGCATGATTTTGAAACGCAGTCTGTATGGTTTCAGTAGTTGCAGTTGGAACAATTAAAATAGGCTTTAGCAAAGCAAATCTATTGTTTTTTGGGGGTGTCTTTGTGGTAGTGCTCATTAACAACCTGAGACTTGTTTTCAAAGGGAGTGGTATGCTTCTGGCTGTATGCTTCAGTGGAAAGGCAAAGTACAAACCTGTTCGAGATGCTTCAATTTGACTTCCCAGAAAGTGGATCATGCTGCAAACTGCTCAGCCATTAAAATATTTCTAAATATGTTAAGGAAAACAATTTACTGTTGCTGTCACCTAGTGGAGGCTACTGCTGCTGAGGTGGACTGCTCCAAAGCTTTGATGCTTGAAGGTACCCACTATTAACAACTAACAGTGCCTTAACGCTTTGTGCTGGCTCTCATGCTTGTGGCTTTTTTTTTCCCTTTCTTTTATTTTTAAGCTCGTTTGCATAGGTAGTTCCATCGGCAGTCAGATCATAAAGCACCTGATTATAGAGCATAGCACTGTGTGGACAAAATGTGAGGCTAAGATACAAAATAACTGAAGTCTAACAACTATTCAAAGATCTATTCTTTTGCAGTATTTGCCTTGTTCTATATACTAAATAGGATTCAACCTGATGCGCTAATAGCTAATTTCTGTAAATGTAAGAGAAGATTGTTTTTCTCCTGAGATTTGAGTATTATAGCAGATACAAATAGTTTACACACTCAGATATTAAAGCTGAATTGGAGAGAAATGAGTCACTCTCTTAAACCCAAAACAAAATATTAATGTCATCAAAAAAAATGAAGAATAATAACATAGAAACTGAAAGCCTCTATCTACCACCTGACTTACAGAACTGGTTCAAAAGGCTCTACTTTGCTTCAGCTACCCAAATCTCCAATAATCTTCAAATTTGCAATAGATAATACCAAACTATCATGTCCAATATGAAGTGTGCAAATATCTACACAGATTTCTCTAGGACTCATTAGATGCTTAAAGTTAGTCACACACACTAATATTTCTCTTAATTACAGCTGAAAGAACAGTTTGTTGTAAGACCTCCTGAATATTAATTAATAACAACATCTCACCTTGTAAACTCAGGTGAAACCTCCATAATTAACTGCAGTTTTATACAACAAAGTATTTAAGACTAATTTAGGAAAACAACTCGTGTCAGATACAAGTTGCAGACTATGAGGTCTTCACAGTAATTGTAAGTTGCTGTGTAATGTAATTAATGTATTTAAACCCCAGTAAACAGAAATTAATTTGAGTTAGTTCAGTCCTTTGTGCTAGTGAGTGATCCTTGTTTCTACATATGAAGTTACTGTGAAATTACAGTTTCATAATATTGATGATACAACTCCTTTCAGCAGAAGGACATTAATGACTGTTCCAGGGAGGATGACCTTTTATACAGATATAATTGTGCATTCTTGTGAATCTGGAAGAAATACTTCAAAACTGATTACCCTGATTTTGAGTTGTATTACAAAGCAAGAGCACATTAAATATATTTTTCATTTGTAGAAAAATTAATGCAGTCTTTGACAATCTGTTCTCCAGCTTAATTTCTCCTTTTTATAATAGGAAAGGGGCCTCTTGTGTAACTTGATTAGGGGAGAACAATGGATGTGAATGATTATTTTGCATGAATTGTGTGAGATCATTCAAATGCCATGCCCTGGAGAACTTAAAGATGTTCTAAAACCCTGAGAAATTCACTAAGTCACTATTTTTCTTTCCAAGTAACAGAATTTTTTCTTTTTACATTCCTTAAGTCACTAAAAGAATAATAAAGTTTTTATGCAGAAATGATCTTGCCTCAGCTCCCTTGGTATGAGGGAGTTCTAAGTACTCACTGTGCTAAAGTAGCAGAGGGTAAGAACTTGAGGGTCTATGCTTGATCTAATTGCCCAGCTCTTCTATTTAGGATTCCCACTAATGCGTCTATTCTTCACTTGCCTGCAAATGCTCGCACACCATTTTGTCCCTCCCCACTTTATACGTGCGATACTTACGTGTCTTTTTTGTGGTAGCATTCACTGTGGCACTGAAGGGACCTGCTCCAGCACTGTTGTAGGCACGGACAGCTGTGTAGTATGCTAAGTTGCTCTTCAAACCTGTTATTCTTATTGAAGTTTCATTCCCTGCAGCTTTAACTCTGTTTGAAGATTCTTCTTTTCCTCCATTGTTCCAGTACCTCACCTAGTAGATATAAAACAAAGCTACTTAAAATGTTGGATAAACATTCAATTCCCTGCAACAGCATTGCATTTGACTCCTTCAGGTGTGTATCTCTCAGCTGAAAAAGGTAGAAATATATTAAAGTTTCCAAAGTGTGTGCATTATTTCAACAAAATTTGCTCATCCATCTGCCTTTCGTGCTTGCTGCCCTTTTGACTGCAGAAAAAGCAAAAGTGAAACATTAGATTTTGCTCAAATTAAAAAACGACAACCAGAAGAAAATCACTGCTTCATCTACTAAGTAAACAAGTTAGACTTGTCTGGCATGAGCTCTGTGTTTTATGACATTCTGGATTGTGGCACTTTAGGACAAGAGGAGCGTTTTAAATGATGTTACCTCATAGCCCAGTAGTCTTCCACTACTCATCTTCCAGGGAATGGCTTTCCAGGAGACTTCGATGACAGAGGAGGACAGGCTTGTCACAGACACACCAGAGGGGGCTACAGTAGGCTCTGCAATTGGAAATCAGCACTGGAGAGATGAGCAGCATAGGTGATGGTGCAAATAAATACGTTCATGTTCAACTTGACCTCAAGTATATCAACTGTTGCTATATTCTTTGGTAAAATATCTCATTAAATATATGCAGAAAATCACATACCTTCTTCAGCTGAAAAAACAGTTGTTATTGAACTGAATGGCCCTTCTCCTTTATTGTTATAGACACCAACTTTGACTTCATATGGTGAAAATGGCAAGATGCTTTCATTCCTAAAGACATATCTGGGCGTGTCAGGAGAGGTGACTACAGTCTGTATCCATGTTGTGGTGCCAAAAGGGCGAAAAGCGACGACGTATCCAAATCCTTCTCCATTTTGCAACTCCTCAGGGATGGGCTGTGAGAAAAGCAATCAGTGACAGAAGCCCATGATATTACATACAACGCTGGAAAAGCTTTGAAGGAAGAAAGCATCACTGTGAATGTAATGCATGCAACTATAAACTGGTTCTGGTCTGCACTTGGGATCACTGCATCAACAAATGAAGTCTGGTACAGTCGAGTGAAATGCTTTCTTTTAAAACTATCTGCACATCAAGAAAAGAGCAACTCCCCAAAACATTTCTTGTTCTCCAGTAAGTACACAGCTTTAAGACGCTTCAGTAAACATAACTTTTCAATTTCTGGTCACAATTCATAGTACATAAATAATACCAAAGAATTCAGTATTATCTTTGTACAGTATCTGTACCTTCCCTGATGTGATTTGATTAAGTAACAACATAAAGTTGCTAATGTCAGTAAGAAATAGCATGGTAACATTTTTTAACTCATTAAGAATAGGATACGTTATTTAAAGTAGTATCTGATCCGTTAGCACCTACATGGAGAGTTAATGGTAGGGAAGTACAAACTGGAAAGCTGCACTGATCTGCGAAACACTTTGGCTTAACCTTTGAGCAACAACCAACCCTTCCCTTTCCCATCCCTCCCTGCCCCCTTTTGCCTTGACAACTGTTTGAGAGTGTAAGTAAGTCATCATCTTAGACAAGCTAACTGAATTTCTTCCTGATTGCAGTCTAACAGTAGCAAGTTAAAGAGGGAAGGCAAACGTGCATAGCTCACATTACAGAATGTTACCGAGCACATATACATCCTAGATGAGAAGCTGCTGCAGCCAGGAAAATTCATCTTTAAAGAAGCGTTTCAATGAAAACAACCATTCTCTGAAGAAAACTGCTTGCCAGAAAACTTACATCCCATGTTATGACCAGTTCAGACCTGCTGCCGCCTCCCCCACTGACTTCAGCTGGGGGAATTTCAGGAACTGTGAAAAAGAAACGCATAGCTGTCTACGCCATGTAAACAGATGAGATGATATCACAAGTTAACCTCATTCTCTGGAGCTAACTCTCTAGTTTTCCTATTTCTTTTGCCAATTGAGACAAGTGCTTTAGAACCTGCACGGGGCAGACAGGGTTTTTTTTGAGCACTTGCAGAACCCCACAAATGAAACCCTGTATGCTCTGCTTTAAATGTTTATGAGCATCTAAAAATCAATGGCATGCTTCAAGTTTTCAAATTTTCAGGGCTAACTTATCCCAAGTAACATCTGGGATTTCAATCAAGTCTTTCCGAGTAGAAAACTGTCAAAATTCACCTCTTCCCCATTCATTAACATCTTCAGACTGCAGCACTGACTGAAAAAAGTTTGCCATGCTAAAAACATGAACACTCACAAACAAACTAGTTACAGACTTTTACATTTGATGCAAATTCCAAGCTTAATTGAAATGAGCCAAATACATGATATATTTTTTTTTAAATATATTCAAGATGCTGAATTAAAGACAAATAGAAGAACCCACTAACCTGCCTCTTCAGTTCTTACTTTTTCTGAGGGTAAACTAGGTTCTCCACCTCCTATTTTGTTACTGGCAACTACACGAAATTCATATTCGACCCAAGGATTTAAATCCACCACTGTGGTTGTGAATGTATTTCCATCAATCACGTCTGGAACTATTAATAAAAAAAAAAAAGAATTAAGAACCTGGTGTATCCTGGCCAAGCGTATTTCACCAGAAGCTGTAACAAGAGATGTGTATTACCTGTGGTAACTCGCTGCCAGCCAACTGAAAAAGGTGTTCTTGCTTGTACAGTGTAAGCAGTCACTGGGCTGTGATTGTCTGTGCCTTCTCGCCAGGAGATCTGAGCTGTAGTATCAGTTATTTCATCCACTCTCACGTGTTCAGGAGGCCCAGGTGAGCCTAGGAAAAGATTGAAAAATAAGTGGTGTTTAGTAAAGCCAGTACCCTGGAAATCACTGATACTGCAGTAAAACTTTGCTTAAGTCTATTAAGCGAAGAAGAAAACGTTTAGATTAGGATAAATATTTATTAACATTAATGATACTTGTATCTGATAAGGTAATTCTGAAATAGGCACCCTGAACCATTACAGATGGTAATGGTTCAGGGTTTAGTTCAATGGTTACGGGTTTAGTTCACCAACCTTTGTTCAGCACGATTCCTTTTTCCATTCCACATTATCTTTTACTTGTTGGTCACTGATGTCCTCTTTTTAATCTACTAATGTATCTCTGTAGTCTGCCTATGTGTTATCTACAGCTGTTTTAGTGTATGAAGCACTGTAGCAATTCTTCATCAGAACATCTGATCAGCACCACGAGCAACTATTCCATCAGGCAAATGTTCTGCTGCATTCTGGAAAAAATCTCATTCTGGGCAGCCTAGCAAAAATGCTGTTTCTGTCTTATCTGCACCAGCAAACAGGTGATATAACTAACAGTACAAAGGCAATTATAAAATACCTGGTATATTTTGAAATACATTGAATAAATCTTGATTGCATCATGTTGATTTCTGGATTACTGCTTTTCTTTTGCTATAAATGTAATCATCAACAATGAAAGCTATAGTTCATGCTTAGCTCTGCAAGCAATCCTGCTCAGGAAAAAAAAAGGAAATAAAGAAATAACCCCGCATTATATAATTTGAATTTCTGTGTGTCTCCAGGACAAAGCCCTTCAAACACTTCTGCAGCAGACGCCCATTTCCCAGGAAGGATGCTGGACCATGGAGTCACCATTTAACAGACACAGCAACAACATCACAGCTGTCAGTACTGAACTCCACTCATCAGTGGCTTGAAGGACTGTCATAAGAAAAAATATGTCATCATAATTCTTCAATTTTTTTTTTTTTTTTTTCTGGGAAGAAGCAAGTTTCATCCAAAACTGAGCCTAACTTCAATGCAGAATCACATAATTCAAGTCATAGATGAACAGGTTTTGTAATCTACACCATAAACTGTTTCTGCAATCTACAGCACAATACGGTAAGAAAACACAATTCATGGTAACTGAAGCTGAAATTTACCTCGTACTATAAGGTCAGCTGCAGATGCCACACTGTCTACTTCTGTCTTCACCATACAAACGTATTTTCCACTGTGTTTCAGCTGGATGTTTCTAATCAGCAAGTCTCCTGATGCGCTCTGTCAAATACAAAGTTGTCAAATGAATTAGCATATTATTTAATATTCAGATCACTTTTTGGAAGTGGAGAAATTATCACCATGAATAGATAAAGTTTAAGATAAACTAGATAAATAAACTTTATAAAATTACAGGGGCAGGACAGCAGGTTATTACCCAGCAGCTCCATGCTACACGGCTGTAAGCACTCTCCTAGCAGACAGGAGTTAGTGCCTCTACCTGCATGAGAAGCAAGCTGCAGCACAGGTGCCCAGCACTGGGAACACACCTGCCTATAGCTGTTAAGAACCACGAAGAAAGTCAGCATCCTGTGACCAACTGCTTGCCTTCAAACCACAAGAAAAATGTGATTTCTATAGCCGTCACCCAATCTGACTTCTAGACAGAATTCATAAGTCTAGTTAGCAAAGACATTCAAAGAGTTAAAACAGGTAAGCAACAAAGCTGAACCTGGCCCGTTCTGAAGGGTTAAGGATAAAATTCAGAAAGGTACAATATGAGTCCTGGGTCATTGTGCTGCTGAGGGCCTCTCACTGAGCACCTCGTATCCCTGGCAGTTTGGCTGGGATTTCCTTCTGCCAAGTTACTTTGCATTATGAGCACACTTGGATTTAAGCATTACGCCTCTGCAGCTCTTTGGCTGATTGCCCTGATTTTATGGTCCTACTTCTTCCTTTTTCATCGTGCATTCAAACATTGGTCATTTCTTTTCCTTTGTCCTCTCTCACGTTACACTATGTGGTTGATCAGAATCAAAGAAAGCATGCAAAAACCTTGAGTGAGTGATAGCTGTAATTTTTGCACTGTTACAGACTCTGTATTATTTGTTTTCTACGTTACTGAAATAGAGCACTCAATCCTAAACTTCTGGTAGCCAGTTTGCTTCAAAACCTCCCTATGTGCCAGCTGGATGACTGCTTCAGCTCTGTTCACATCAAAGCTTCCAGGTGAAAAATCTGTCAGATTTCAGTTTTTCCCCCTCTTTCTAATTTTCTGGAGCAGCGGTTTTAGTTGAGGACAGAACCATAGAACCATACTTTGCAGGTATTCACAGCTCTCTGACCACAACCGATTCTTGAGAACTCAGTGATTTGGGAGAAAGAGAAGACATGATTGCTGTGGTCTCCAGAAAACAAGAGTTAACAATCTTTCCAACCCTTTGCCTTTAGCAATTAATTATTTTTTATGCTCACACTAATTGCTTCTGCTTGGATCCTTACATTTCAAGAATAATTTGTTTTCATGGAGACTGCCGTTATCTCAGATCAATCTCTAACTGTATGCAAATCAGCTGTGCCATTTTGTCACAAGTATTTCTTTCTGAGCTTGAGTTTCATTCAACACCTGCAGTTACTGTGTAGGATGAGCATTAGGATGTCTCACATAGAAGCTGAAAAAAACTTTGCCTGCTTCCTTTTCAAGTGTGGCAATATAAATACAATGCCAGGTCTTCTTTAAAAACAAAGATGTAAACATTTAGAGGACAATCCAGCACTGGTTGCCTCCAGTACCCTAAAAGTTAAGCTGAAGGCAATCTAAAATCCATCTAACTTGATTGGAAGTGGATATTCAGGAAATGACCAGCAACAACAGCGGATACGCACAAAGCAAATCATGTTCTACGTGAACTAATTGTAGCAAACTAGATTTAAACCATCTAGGCAGAGGGACCATCAAATAGAATAATTTTACTGAAACATAAAATACTGAAATATTAACACCGTATCTAAACTATTCGTGGGTGCTTTGCAGGAGCATCCTGAAGTACTGAGGGGAAGATGCGCAGCAGCAAAAAGCTCCAACACAGAAGGCACTCAGCTCCCATGGCTCTGCCGACCATTAGCAGTGCCCACATTCTTGCCTGGCCAGATTAAATCACTGTCAGTGTGGACAAGTCCAGGTAACAGTAAGGCCACTTTCCTTTCTCAATGCTCCACAGAATAGCAATAAGCAGAATTGCACACACAGTACAAACATCTGCTGGAATAGCTTTTGCTTTTCCTGACTGCATTCGTGGATTTCAGCCATTGCTGGCCTGTATGAATACACAGGTGATACCAGAAGCAATTTAAGGAAATCTGTTCTGATCTCTGAAATCTGCTTGGTTTGCCTGTAAATCATTTATCTAACAAAAAAGTACAGTACAACAGTGATATATCCTATATTTTTCTAACCATCTGGAAGACCAGAACATGGTGCCCTAACATTCCCACTAACCTCTACATGTCAGGGATCTCAGGCATGCACAGCATGGACTGCCCAAATATCATTACACAGATTTCCATCCACTAAAAAATTTTCCTTTTGCCATGTTTATCAACAAAGCTGAACTTATGCACAGATAGTTCAATTTAACAAATATGCACTGGAAGGCTTCTTACTGGGATTAAATTATTCCATCAACCTTAGCGGGATCCAGACAAGCCCACATAATAGTTCTCTGTATCTCTTAGTTACCGATGGAGTTTTTCCACTCTGGAGGTTCAATCCCCTTTTTTAATCAAGTAAGACTTTAAAAAAAGTCACCTAAACCTCAGTATTCCATAACTAGCCCTAGCCAGAAGTCTGAGTTACTTGATACTCTGAAATTTCCTTCACAACTGGTTGAGAAGTTTTTGTGAAATCCTAGGTTTTTTTTAAGCTCTTTTGTTTTGTTTTGCTTTGTTGTTTCTCTTTTTCTTTTCTTTTCATGTGGGGAAAAGTAAAGTATGGCTTCCCTCTGTCACAGAACCACAGAATGGCCAGGGTTGGAAGGGACCTCAAGGACCTCTCCTGTCACCAGGGGAGACTTAAAGAGAGAAGCGAGGGAAACAGCAGGGGTACAAGAGCAGGAAAAATAAGATAGATTTTGTTTTGTTTTGTTTGCTTTTAGGCTAGAGCTCTCAAAATATGTAACAAGTTCTTCAATCTGTCATTGCTGTGTTTCATGTAATCCAAGGAAAATCATGTAGGGCCAGATGCAGAGGTAGGCACTTATAAAACTTCAGGTCTAAAATATGAGATGCCTGGATACCAGATTATGTGCTGCAGGGTAGCTCAATGAATGACTTCTCTGCAACAAGGAACACCACATTCCACTCACCCAAAAGAGAAGAAAAAACCTTCAAAGTGTGGGAAAGAGTAAGCAAGCCCGTCTGTGCTGCATACATCTGTAAATGAACAAGTGTTCACAACTTACCCCTCCAACCTTCTCAAAATGAGAGGCATCTTTTTTGAAGTCGGTGAGTGTCCCATTGAAATACCACGTGAAGCTGATGTCCAGTATGGGATCGTGCTGAACCTGGCAAGGCAAGATGACGCTTTCTCCAACAGTGACATCCATGTTTGAAGGTGCCAAAGTGATCCTTGTTGGCTCTGAGAGCAGAAAAATCAGTTATTGGATTTCTGTAGTACTAGGACTTGTCTGCCACTAATGTTCTACCATGTTCTACAAATCTGATTAATGACAGTCACTTCAAATTATACAACTGGACTATAAATGCTACTGACTGACCTCTCTTGTTGGAGCACTGTACTGCTGCACATTTACCAGTGGGAGTTTGTTGAAACTGAAAAAGTAGCTTTTTACCTACTGTGTACAGACCAATATCCCTCACCAAGCTAAATGCACTGCAACCCGCAGCAATGAAATTGCCATTCAGAAGCACATGTGTTTCTCAGCAATAACCCATATGTTTTGGAGCAGGATGCTGTGGTAGCAGCCATGGGGAAGATTAAAAGGTGGGAGTGGAAGGAGGAGATAACAAAATCTGGAAACCAGAGGAAATCTATGTAGGGTAGGACATGTTGGGTATCTGGGTCTGTATATCATATAAAACATAAATAGTGCCATTAAGAAAAGCAGCTTACAATTCCTGAATCACATGAACTGAACAAATATCATATACTGTAAATACTGCAAAAATTAAATTTCCTTCTATAAATCCTCTGTACATAATTCTGTTATTTGTATATAAAAGGGCATGAATCATTTAGAAACAGACTGAAAATCTGTAGCTGTTTCTTCACTGAACAGAATAATTCTGTTTGGGTCTATGAGATGTATGGGATATGCAGTGCAGTAGGATATTAGATAATTCTGCATTTGGAAAATCTTTTAGTTATTCCAATCTTTAAAAAAGAACATCATGAGAAAAGACAGTCTTCAGCTAGACTTCACAAAGCACTCCTCAGTCAGCATCTTAGACAGCAACTAGTATTGGTTGTCTCAGTGGAAGGGGCAAGAACTCTTTTAACAGCAATTATGTACACAATTAGCTTTTGAAAGACTTTATATTTTACTGCCTGTGGGGTCCCTGAGCACTCCTGCAGCTGGAGCTTCTTCCACATCTTTTTCCATGAGCAAATAAACGTATAGTTCCGTAGGGCTAAAGAGATTTTTGGACTGGAATGTATAATGCCCTCTAATATTTCTGGTTGACATCAATTTCATATTCTGTTTTTTAACAAGTTAAATAAAAAGAAGTGCAACAAACTTAGAGAGAGCATGGAGGAAAGTGTTCAGAACAGCCTCATCTGAGCTTCCAGGGCCAAGAAATCTCTGTGCCAAAAGGGAGAAAATCCCTCAGTCTCTCCTCTCAACTAACCAGAGATCAATCCTTTTATTTTTCTTAAATATGTCTTTTGTCACACTTTACTTTTCAACACATTTGGTGTTTGTTCAAAGAGCAAATTCAAAATTCCTCTAATTGCAGATGACCCTTTCTTTCCAGCCCACCTACCTGTAACTACTAAGTTTGTTGTCCCACTGGCTGTTCCAAACTGGTTTGTTGCCACACAAGTGTAGCTTCCAGCATCAACTTTAGTCACATTGATTATTCTGAGTCCTCCATCCTTTAATAATGTGATTCTAAAAAAATTACAAAGAAATTTTGAAAGTTACAGCATTGCTTTGTTGACAGAACATTTCAATACTCATTTTGTTACAGCGGTTTATCAAGCTGCATCAATATGCAAATATGCAACACGGTATTTCAAAGTCTTGATGGTATCCACTGACTGTTGGTAATGTGGAAAAAAACAGAAATACTCCTAAAAAAAAAAACAACATTAAGCGAAGGAGACTCAAAGGAGACTCACATTGCTGATAGATATGCAAGAACACCAGCAACCCAACAGTAGAGCTGAGATCCTAGACAACAGCAGTGGGGGGACCTAAAGGCAAGGATAATTTTAAATTCCCTCTTTCTGATCCTCCCATCTGTCATATCCTTATGTGCAGAACCTTCAACCAGCTCTTCCCTGAGATAACCTGGAGCTGCATAGAGACCCGTACAACTGTTCATAACTGTTCAGAATAACTGGGAAAAAAAGGTAAGCAACAGTTTCCTGATACATCAGTCCATTTCAAAGGCATCAAATGAATCACAGTGTTGCTACACTGCCAGTCTCCTAGGCAGCTTAGCTAGCAGGCAGTTTGGAAATGTCCCAGACACCTCACAACCAGCTAAAGAGAATCTACAGAACAGCAAACAACATTAACACTGGAGGCAAACCTCTAACCACGTTAGTTGGCGAGTCATGTGCAGCTGTCAGAGTACACATCATCTGAGAAGGCAGCAATGTCCTGGAACTTAATACTGCTATCTTCCCTTTTCAGAAGAGTCACGAGGGTTTTGTCTTCTTGCTTGCACGTACTCCAGCATTAACCTGCTTCTTTATTCAGTACAAAACTAAACACACATCCCTGCCGTTCCTTTTATTTTTCATATGCATGAGGGAAATTAGTATCAATAACTTGTCCCAGCTGAGATTCAGTTCTCTAGAAGAAGCAGATTAAGTCTTCAGTATTAGTGGGAACTGGGAGCACTTCCTTTTCAAAACTTGCCCCAGGCTCGGGGTAAGCAGGATGCTCAACTGAACACACAACTTCTTTGTTCTTCTGCCATTCACACACTGTACCTAACAGCCCCATGTGAGCAGTGCTGTGAAGCTGCACGTGCTGTGGAGCTGACCAAGGACAGCTTCCAGCTGCAGTGGAACACCTTGTGTGGCATCTCATGGCCGAAAGGCAAGTTGGCTCTTAAAGGACATATGCTTCAGTGAACTGCACTGTCATTAACTATTTATACTGACTTATATTATAAATAATACAACACGACGATGGCATCATTTCTTTAAGCAACGCATTTGTACCCTTTTTTCAGAGAATAATGATGTTGATGAATAAGGACAGCTTAAACCAACTCGCAGTCTGATGGGTTCAGTGATCTTATCCTCCACCTTCGGCTTCCCTGATCCTCCAAAACCATCTTCATCAACCACGGAGCACAGCAGTGGGATTCTACCGTGCCTCTGTAGTTCTGCTGCTTCCCTTAATAGCAGGTTCACCTCATCACCAGGCCACATGGAGACTGCATTTCAAACGTCTGAAAACAGAGCAGTCTGGATTCTTTCCACTGCTTCACTGACAGTACAAAGCTCTTTGCAATGAGAAAAGCACTATAAAATTAAGCTCAGCTTTTAATTGTTCTTAATTATTTTGATTTTTTTGTGTTTTCTTTAAAAACGTGCTATGATACTCAATATTGTGGTACCTGAGATAAGTTTCTTTTGGGCAAAATCAATCACAAATTATGATTTCAAGCAAGCTATGGAGTTCTCAGACTTTTCACCTATTGGTTTATACTACAATGGCATGCATTGCATCATCCATTTTGAAGCAGTTTTCAGCAGAAAAGCTTGAAAAACAAACAAAAATCCAACAGCAATGACAAAGTCTTAGATCAAACAAACTATAAATAGGACCGGGGTATAGAATAGGAAATGTCTATTGTTTAATTAAAATGAAAGGAAAACACATTTTTAGAGTGCTCTGAGCTATCTCAAAGCCTCGCTCATCTAAACCAATGAAGCAAAAGGCTTATTAAAACCAAGACATCGTTTAGAATCAAGTTTGGTTTTTTTTCAGAATAAAAAACAACCACCACCCAACAAATCAATTCTTGAATAAAAGTGACTGTCAAAATCTTTATGGCAAATTAGTAAGAGCAAATCTTTACTTTTTCAATTACAGAGCAGTAAATACAGCTCAGCTTATGTAAATGCAACACCTAGCAATAGCTCTACTCCTTTCTGCTGAAAAATTAGACAAACTGAGGTGTTTAGTATGCCTAAAGTTATGAGATATTCACACACTATGATAGAACAGACAGCCTGCTGCCAGGAAGAGATCCAGATTTCTAACACAGATCAATAATACACCTCATAGAGAGTTCTCTGTATCTGCAGGAATTCTCCCAATACCTTTTGCTGAAGAGCAGCAATTTTTAAAGTGAATTTCATTTTCCATGACCTGCATACTTCTGATGAACCAACAGCAGAAACTTTAAGCCCCATAAAATAAAGATAATTGGCTGAATAGTGCTTTGGTACACGTGCATTAGCACAACTGGAGTCTGACTGAAGGACCTATCGGCTCCTAAATCAAAATATGATTGACAAAAATGAAACCATTCTCTCTTGAGAAAAATTGTAGGAAATCAATCTTTGAAAGACTCTCTTCTCCTGCAGTCAAAAAGATGGCATAAAAAAATACCTAGAAAAGCCAAATGTCCTTACTCATGTCCAGGTTGTCATGCTCTTTGATTGCTGTCAAAAGAATGGGAGTAGACTTCAGGGTTTCTGATTTGAGAGAGAAAACTAGGAGAGTATTCCTATCCCAGCTAACTTAGGAACATGGATTTAGCAATACAGACCTTCCAGGCAATTGAAGTTACAGTTTCCCTTAATTCTGCCCAGTTCCCCAGGTGTGTTTTACTCATCAGGTCACAACCAGCCATGCAGAAAGCCAGCTATGAAATGAGAACATATACTTCTAATACTGACATGTTATTTTACTACAGTTGCAGACTGTACCGTATTTCCAGTACTTTCAGACACTGGGAATAATATCACTGGGGATCAGAAGGCAAGTGATGCTCCAGGAAGCCAATCTGAAATCTGTTGACTTTCCTGTATGTTGCCTACAAACATCCCAGCTATTCTGCATTCACTGTCCTCACTCCAGCTTGCTCATACTGCACTACATAGAGGCCTACATATATGACCCTTACTTGTTAAAGTTGTGTTAAATGGAAATGTTGGTGCAGTATAACCACCCACCCAATGAAGGCCAGCAGATGCCTCAGGATCCAGGATTCCAGCTCTTCCAATGCAAGGCTGCCACTTGAAGTTTTGTGCCGTTAATGAAATCGTTAATGAATGTAAATTTGTTCATCTTCCCATGGCGATGCTTTATTACTAAAATAACAATCAAACTAAATCACTGCCTTTTTATATTTGTCAGATTATTCAGCAGAAAAGCCAAATATTTTAGACCCTCAGTGATCTGATAATAAATACAAACATATTACTTTCTAGTTCATAACTCTTCAGTACAAAGGATCAGTGGAAAGTGGGTCAAACCAGCTTTTTATATATCAAGCAAATTCCAACTAAATTAAATCAGATTACTTAACGAGAAAGCCAGCCAAAATAAGCTCCTATTGAAGCACTGGTAAGTAAATGCATTACTTTCCAGATCACAGCGTTTCAAGCTGTAACACAAAATGAAGTAAAAATACTTAATTCGAAACCCATAACTGAACCTTGTACAGATTATGCAATATTTTATCAGGAATAGTACCTCATCTTTTCTTTCCCCCTGAACTTGACATCGCTTCATCACAGTGAAAGATGCTAAAACTGGAAGGTTTTTTTTTTTGAGAGACTTGCATTGGGATGTTTGCTAGTGAAGGTAAAGTTTGCAATATCTTTTCATCTTCTTCTGCTCTCAGTATATTTACAAACATCTAGGAATACAGGTGGATGAGCTTATAGATGAAACACTGCTCTGCACCAACTCAAAATCTTAATCTTTCTCCAGCCATATATTAGAGCAATAATATAAAAACATTAAATGAAATCTTCTAAATGGGTACCTAGGACCATATTTGGGATGCCTACTGTTTCTGATGGAAATAAACTAGCACTGTGTGTATTTAACCTTGATTAAAATGTCTAATACTCTTTTTTGAAATACACATTAAGAAATAAAAGCTCATCCATCTGGAGATGGGGACTTTCAACAGAGAAGATGGAAGGTTTCCCCTCCTGGAGATGCTGTGATCTCTGCTATCAGGAGAAGCTGCTCCAGAATAATTTTGAATAAAAACAACCAGGATGCAGCTTAACAACTGCAGACATTTTTAAAAGGCCATACAACAAGAAATGATTGGAAAGAGCAGCTTAAGTAAATACAAGCCATTTCTAGAGCAGTGATACACAATCATAACATGGGGTAAAAACAGACCTGTGCCAGATTCCCACAATCAGTCCCTGGTCTGGAAGCACTGAAGACATTCTTGCTAATTCCTGACTATCATGCTCATTACATCCACAATAATTTGTTTCGCAGTTCCAAAACTGCATTTTGGATGGGACTATTCCCTGTTTTAGTACCCAGTTCATTTTATTCCCATTTTATGCCTTCACTTTTGCATACTCTACACTGAACCACATGCCTTAATTCTTTCTGCGTTCCACTGTTCTTCACTGTCTTGTTCTCTCTTTTCAAGATAAACTTTACAAAAATAATAACAAATGGAATATTTTGCAAAACTAACAAGAAACAAGACTGTATTCTTTAACAGAGCAATTTCTCAGTCCAAAGGCTCTCGAATCCATTTGACTTGTACATTCTCCCCTCTACAAGATGTATGAGATTCAGCTCATTTAATTAAAATTTACTGAGTCATTATCCAAATCTCCTACATACTGAAAATGCAGCACCATTTAAAAATAAATTAGAAATACAAGCAACAGTGCCATCAAAATGAAAATCTTTCAGGCTTTACAGAAGTAATGTGATCAGTAACCCCAGTGAAACATCAATTCACATAGAACAAAACACCAGGAGTAGTCTGAAGTAGCACTTGGCTTTCCTGCAGCAGAGCACTGCTGCAATGTGCCTGGGGCTGTGGGGATGGGACTGTGCTGGCACAACCCCCAGAGAGGACAGGCTCCAACACCTGCACGAATGCACACAAAAACCAAAACATCCCACTGCCTGATGTTCAACAAACTGTTCTACACTTTGCTGAACAAACAAGTCCATTACACCACAGGCAAACCTACCAAACCAACAGCACTATGGTTGTAACTATTCACAGACAAATACACTGGGAAAACTGTACGTGTACTTCTCCCCATGGGGGTACAAGAGCTGTACCCCCACAAGAACCACCTTGTTTGCTTCTTCTGCACAGCTCACCATACTTTCCTGAAGACTGCAACTACCCTGCTGGCTCTTCACATGCAAACTCCAACCGACTCCATGTATTTCTCACAGAGTGCCCTATGAGAGAGCCCGAACCACACTGCAGGTCTGAGGATCAAACACATTCAGGTCTAAGGATCAAACACATTAAGCTCTTTCTGCCTCTCCTATAGGTAAAGCAAATGCTGCACTTCTGTGTCCAGCATTATCCCTTTTGGGAAGTCACTCCACTCTTTCTCGACCATTAAAAAAGGCACCCTCTGCCCCACGGCCCCACAGACCTCTCCATCAGAAACTTAGTTAATGGCTTAAAAATGTACAGTTAATTGGAAACTGAATGGGAAGAACTGTACAACTGCGAGAAATTCATGAATTGCAATTATTCATAGCAGACAGTAATGAACTATAGTGCTTTCTGCAAAGAATCACATTTCTCCTTTGCTCTGAAGGAAAGTGGACTCCATTTAGATTAATTCAGGAGCACTGTCTTGTTATTACGTTTCCTCTGTAAGCCATTTATATGTGCTGTCAGAAATACAGACGGGCTGTATACATTTTGGGCTGTATTTTGGAAATATCCGCACTTTGCAGAACTAAATGGTGGAATTTGTGTTTCCAAGAATCACACAGATGTAAGCAGGTCGCATTACATGCGCTCAAAACACTGTCAGGAACTGAACATCACCTTCTTCCACTGGTACCATCACATCTGAAATCAGCAGCTGCTGCTTTGAAAGGGCAATTCAAAGCAGCCACAAAGACAGTGTCTGGTGTCTATCCAGAAAGCCCCCAGAGTGCAACTCCTGGCCAGAACTCTTTGGACATACGTGGAGCCCTGCGTGGTCCGTGCATGTCTGACAGCTCTGAACATCCTGTCTAATCAACACAGGTTATCTGCTGCTGACAGGCGGCTCCAACAGAGGCAGGAGCAGGAAGGGGTACCTTCCTCTGCATTTTTGAGGAATGATGTAAGGGCAAAAAGTAGGAATTTTCCTATGTGGAAAGAATCTTGTGCTGTGTATTTATTTGCACACTTACAAAAGTTATCAGAAAAACAACAACCAAGCATCGTCAAAAAGAGAGAGGCTTCACATGGTGTCAGCAAACACTGTGGCCATGTGTCACAGACTTCCTTATGAATGTGATAAGATGTCACTACAAAGGAATGGGATGCTTCACGAAGAAAGAAAAACCAACAAGGGACTTATTTTGAATGAGACTCTGCTTACTTTCAGGCACACAGCCAACTAGCAAGTCTGTGCTACTGTGTCAAGCTCTATAATGACAGAAGCCTCATTTCCTGCCAAAACACCAACACTTCAACACATGAAGACACATTTATTGTGTGCCCTCTGAAGAAAGAGCTGTGGCTGCACAGAACAGGAAGACACAAGTGTTCAAACTTGCTGGGTACAAGGAGACCCCTCAAACCATGCAATGGAGCCTCCAAAATTACCGATCTGACAGCATCTTTCCTAGCCAGAAACTCCAAAACAGAAATTTTACATGGCGTTCTACAGAAATAGAATTGATTCTGGTAACAGCACTATATTTTTAGAAGTTACTTTCTGTTATGTTCCATACATACCACTGATAATGCTACTCAGGAGATACAGCACTCACCTGGGCACAGTGATGCAAGTGCCACTTCCCTCAGCGTTAAGCTAATTCACAATACTTGTACACAAGAGGTTTTGTTGTCTCTTCCTAAAGAGCATTACACATTTGTCAATGTTAATCTGTCACTTTTCAGCTCATTGGTCTGGGCTCATCATGTAATTCTGGCAATTACAAAGTACATCTTGAATATTTCCATATGGCTTTCTAATGCATCTACAAGCTTTTAGCCATTTTTGTAATATTTTTTTCCATAAAAGCCAACACAGTAGTAGAACAGAAAAAAAAAATCAATATATTAGAATGGTAAGAACACTAATTCTGGTCCTCCCAATTATTGATCCTTGCCAAGTAGAAATCTACTTTTGTCTCTCAGACGCAGTATCACCATGGCTGTAGTACACCTCCTTAGCAGTGTTTTCAGACCATTTTGTTGAAACTTTCCACATTTTTGTTTTCTCAAATTTACATCAGACTGAAAGTAAAAGCTGGCTCTTGATCTTAAAGAAAATGATATATATGTATTCTCAGCACTCAGACACAATGACAAGCAAAAACCAGCCACACTCCTCCCACAAGACATTTCAGAGAGGTTCACAGCTATATGGATCTACAGATGACACCACTGAATTAAAAATTATTTTAGAAGTTGGTTGTTTTTTTTTTTTTTTTCCCAATTAAAACAAATAAACCAATATAGACTCGATACCTTTCGTTTTCGTGTAGCTGCTCACCTCCCTTCTTCCAGGAACACCTGGCCTTGGGGGAAGCTTTTGGTTTGCATTCAAAGTCAACTGTGCTGCCGATCTGAACCTGAATCATTTTCTTCATTGGATTCTTGGAAAAATCTGGAGCAGAAGCTGGAACAGGAGGGATATACTGACAGTGAAATAAAGCATTTTGAATGATATTAACGATACTATTTAGCACATACATGACACCTCAGCTTCTAAAGATCATTAAAAACACGAATGAATTAGTTATTTCAACCAGATCTCCTGTTGGGCAATTATGCATTTTTCTTCTTTATGCTGGTTAAAAAAAAAAAGTAAATGTTTCAATTTTGCAAAGTATGTCACCTAATGAAGCACGCACCTAAGATCACGTTGCCTTCACTGGAACTGAAGCTCACTGGATACAACGTGCCTATCTACACTACATCAAATTTGAGCTTACATGACTTGTCTAACTCCAGTGAGAGCAGTCAACCTCGAGTCTCATTAAAACTCAAGGAATGTGGTGGATTCTACTTTTGTGCCGAAGTACAATAACGGATCACACATATTAAATGACAGAAAACTACAGCACAGCTCATTCTGTTTGAGCACAGGTTGTATGAGCTAACAGTTAAGAACAGCAATGGCTTCTATCTATGGCAACATGGAAGTTCAAACAGAAATTCAGGATTTTAGGAGTACGAGGCTGAGGGAGCAGCCTGCTGATTGAGTGTAACTTTACCCAATATAAGGGGAATAACTCATGCCCAAAAGCACTGCTCTTGTAGGCTTAGTTTTCATTTCAGTCTTTCCGTGTTGGAGGTAGAAATTACACAAGCATATTAATGCATATGGCAGTCTGCAAGTTCACTCTTTTCCTCAAGTAAATCGCTGCCATTTATTCTAGACTCCCACACGCATCATTTGAATGACTGAGTGACAACTTCTTGTCCCCTCAATCAAGGAAGGCTGCCACAAGAGCAGCCCACTGCACGGCTCCCCTGGGAACACCAGAGGCACAGTGCAGAAGGTCAGTGCAGCTGACTGATGTGCCGAGCCAGGGCTGTGTCCACACCCTGTGAGAAGTCTTCATCTGCAGGCCTGTATCCAAGCCTCTGTATCTGCACTTTGCCTAATTAACAATTTATCTGTGTTCTGTTTTAAAGCGATGAATGATTGGACTGCAAATGCTCTGGAAACAGATGAGTAAACTCCTGTGCACTGCAGATAAAAAGATAATAGGTTGACAAAAATGTTTAATTCGACGGCGTCTGAGGGAATTAAAAAGCTGAAATCATGAGGAGGCGGAGTACTGGGCAGGTGGACGGTGTGTGGAGAGGGAGGAAGGAGGGCTGTAATTTAACAGAAAGGAAAAATCTTACCTACAACCCTGAGCTCTGCACTCGAATAGATGACACCATGTTTATTTTCAGCTACGCACTGGTATCTGCCAGAATCTGTCAGATTTAGGTTCGATATTGTAAGCGCACCATTTTCAATCTGGATCCTTCCCTGAATATAAGAAAAATACCTTTACTGATGATGTGTTTTTCCTGTGAAAATTTTAAAATAAGTAAGAAATTCAAATAGGACAGCATCAACATGACAAATGGGGCAGATGTAGCAGCATATACGTAAGAACAGTTCTAAAATAATTTGTATGACAGCACCGAGATTTGGCAATGCAGTGTATAAAATCAATTCTTCAAACTTGCCCAGTTTCACAGAGGCTTTTTATTCTCAAATACCCTTGCATTTCTCCAGAAACGTGGACATCATACTAGGAAGACTAGAGGATCCAAAACACACAGATGGCACTGGCATTTCACACTATTTAGAGATTTCACACTTGCCATTTGTTAATGAGCTCTCTGTGATACTATGCAGAAAAAATTCCAATAGTCATTAAATGGAAGACATATTTAAGTGCCTTACAACTGACAAGGCTACTGAACGAAGAACAGGATGCTTCTTGCCCTGATGCTTCCTGGAAAGCTCTATGACTTACAGTGGGAAGCGACTGCTTTGGGATGGAGTGATAGGGATTGGTGACAAGAGGAACCAGTGACAAAGACAAATCCAACAGCTTCTCCTTTGGGGAAAGATATAAAGGACAAACGATTTTCTCAAGAACATCTTCTGCTTTTCTGGAGCAGCAATGCCTAGCAGAGGTCCTGCATGTGGTTCATCAGGCTTAATACAACAGTAGTCACTCTGCCCTTTCTGCTATGGGCTCATATTCATAGCTGGTCCCAGTGAAGGGCAAATCCAGCTATCTCTGTACAGCCAACACAGCTCAGCCCCTTCTGTGATGGATCCATTCCCAGTTAATTGCAAGTTAGACAAAGCACAAAACAGTCCCTAAATGTAACAAGCTTAAATCTCCACATCTTGATCCTACTTCTAGCATCCTGAGCTCCTGTTGCTGTTCCTCCTTACAAAAGATTCATTTATGGGGAAGGGAAGTTAAGTGGAATAACCACAGCAGGAGATTTTTGTGGAGCAGACCCAGCATGAAGGAGGATTATCACAGGAGCTGAAGACAAACGATCATGATACACAAAGAACTCTTCTGCTGCTGTCTCCCTGGTGCCCGCCTTCAGTGAGTTAGTCCTACAGTGCACAGCCCTCAAGCACTTCCAAAGTCATGCTTGTTCCCTTACATCATGCCTTCAAGGCTTGACAACAGTGCTCCAAGCTGGAGAACTGGGAAATCTGAATGAGAAAAGGTATTTTTGTACTTCTTGAGGTTAAAAAGCACATTACCTCAGTGACTCTGTATAATTTAGTAACAGCGCTCTTAAATCACCAATATATTTTGTACTCCATCACTGAACCTGCCCACAAAACACTACCATTCCTTTTAGTGAGCATGTAACTATAACACCCTGAATGCCACGAATTGTTTTTCAGCTCTCAGGTCATTTTTCATAGCCATCCACTGAACTCACTCGAGCAATCCTTTCTTCAACTCTGGGAGCCAACGTTGCACACAGAATTTGAGCAGTCCTGACAGCAGTGGCCAAGGGCAAAATGCCCTCCTTCTACAGGCTACTGCCCCTAGTTTACATTCCCAATAACCTGGATTCAGCAGTTTTCTCAGTGCACAGTGAGAACTAAAATCGATGCGGGTACCCGGTGGTTTTCTGCACTTCTGATCTGGCAGACCTGCTAACTACATTTTTCCCTGTCACCAAACATATGACTTTCCATCAGGTTAACAACAGTGTTAAAACAAACACCGACGTTACACTACTCTTTCTCTTTCAAACACTGCAATTTTTGCCATCTTTTCTCAAGAAGTTTGCAAATGCTTTCTTATTACCTTTAACAAAATTCCAATAGCAAATGTAAGACAACTATTTAAGATCTTTATCCCTCATTTACAGTTGTTAATCTATAATTTTAATTAACTTCCTTCTCCAGCCTTTCCTTATATAATTATTTCCATGGTTCTACCATTGCTCTTTAACATCCTTTTAGCTGAGTTATTTTTGTACAATATAATTTGTCCTTGTGTTTCAGATATTGTAGCTTCAGATGTTTCTATCTGGATGCTCCCAATGAACAAACACAAAAAAGTATACAAAATATTTATCTGGACAATTTACACGGACTTTCTGAATTCTCACTGCTATATGAGGTAGTGCTAATTTTGCACACCATTGTGCTCTTCAGAAATGAATGTTACCTCTACTGACAGTTGATCTCCATTCTTCAGCCACCTGTATGATGGTTTTGGCTTGCCACTTGCTCTGCAATCCCAGTATAAGGTATCCTCTACGGCAATTTCAGTATCTTTTATCATCTGGATCCAGTGTGGCTTTGCTGCAGATGAAATAAGTATCAACAAGGAAGACCCTAAAAAGTTGTTGTACCACCAGAGTCTCACTAGTTCTGCTTCAAGTCACTAATGAAAGAAATTACTCACTGTTCCTTCTAAATATTTTTATTGCAAGTAGTAAAACAAAAGAAAATTGGGATGATATATCACTAAAGCTGAACTAGTCGAACCAATATTAAAATCACTAATTCAGGAGCACAATCAACACAAATTTAAAAGCGAGGTAAATGTAAGATAAAGACATTAGCTGGATTATTGGAATTAAATAATTGATGCAGCCAAATCATCAAATTAATGCTGAAGAGAATCTAAGGATCTCTGTTTCTGGATAAGCTAAGCATATTACAATGAAGCTATGGGCTATACTTTTGTTCCTGCAACCAACAGCAAAAGCCACATAATGTACACGAGAGGCAGCCATGCAGGTAAATATTTACAACAGTATTTTCTTTTAGCAATACTTTGGCTACTAAATTGAAAGCATCAACTTCTAAAACACAATAGATATTTGAAATCTAATCCTTTATTTCCTTACATACAGACACTAACACTCTGAAATCAAAACAAAAAAGGACAACACCGGTGATATAAGAAAACATCATTATTTTACAGATGAGTAATGGAAGCACCTAAGGTCAGATTAATTCCTGTTGAACTTCCTACTACAATAGCGTTATAGCAGCAATTAATTCAGACTAGGGAAATTAATGACTCGCCTATGGTCACAAGGGAGGTCTGCAGCACAGCTGAGAGCTGAGCCTATTCCACTACCAAAGGCACAAGAGCAGCAGATCATCATTTGGATCAGGACTGGTATTCATTTCACTAAAAAAGGTTTGTTCATATAAATTCTCTCTCCTTCTTATTTTCAGAACAGCAGTAAGATCTCAGCACAGTCACATACTGTACCATACTTCTTGATTCAAAGGATTAACACTATTTATGAATAAATATTCAGGATTATCTTCTCACAGAAAACTGTACTACATTGTATTCATTTAGACACCAACTTAGGAGGCTTTGGAATTCGACCAGTATTTGCTGACAACGAAACCTCCTGTTACTCCTTTTCTTTTGCAGTTATCTTATGCCACATGACCATTAATACCTTTCACTGATTTGAAGTTCATGTATCTTTTACACTGTCTTTATCAAGGTCAGCTGTAGAAGACAAGATAACCTGATCTTCGTGCCAGACAAACATACTACTCCTATTTTACTGATATTAATGTTGGTTAAATATTAAAAGCTAACATTGCTACACTGGAGTTTAAAAAAGAAAATGAAGAGCCACTGCTTTATCTCACACTGCCACTAGGAGTAGTTGTCCCATATGTGTCAAGGGGATGAAAGCTCAAGCCTCCATGTCAGCACACTTTCTGCACTTTGCATACCTAAATATTTATGCAACAAGCAGCAGTACTTGAATTATTGAAGCATCCATACATGTGCAATATTTCACATCTGCTGAGTATCTCCACTTGAAAAATAGACTACAGTTAACCTACTTTAAGTTCATGATCTTCGATTCAATTTCATCAGAGAAAAGAACACTGACTACACTGTAAATCTGCATTTTAGGACTTATTGTAGATAGTCTCCATAGGAGGGCACTCCTAGTTCTCCAGGGTGTATATGATAGAAGCATGGCAGCAAGAGCATCGCTCAGAAAAGAAATAGCACAGCTTCAAAAGCCACTGTGTGTGAAATTCACGGTGCTTGATCATTTGCAAGTGTTGATGTAGACCTCAGTGATTTCCTTGTGGGAAGTTCTTTGTCTCTTCCAATTACTGACCAAGGAATCCAGCAGTAAAACAAATATTCTTTTCAATCTTCCACATCTAAAAGTCTCTAAAAATGACTGTAGAAAATATCAGAAATTCTTTGAGAAAAATAATTCAACAAGTTCAAAATTGAACAGACAGCATAAAAATGGGGCAATTACAACTGGAAGCATTCCGTGCAATGCTCTGAATCTTAGCAAAGATGTCCACAGTGCAGCAGCTGAGAAAAATACAGACAGAAGGTCACATATTAGTAGATCTCCAGTTCCTCTCAGAAAATAGATATTGCTCTCCAAGCACAGCACCACCCTCCTCATCCAGCCTGGCCAACTGTACTAGAATGATACTGAACAAAGATTCCTCTTGAGGTCTTGTCACCATCAGGCAAATGCTACCTGCTTAGAACATCTGGCTTCACTCTGGAGACACTAACTCCTTATCTGTGCTCCTGAAGGAGGGCTGTAATGACTTGGTACAAAGCCTCATTCTCACTTAGCTGTTGTACTGCTTTGGTGCATAGCCATGGTCTTCCTGAGGTCACCACTCCTTAAGCACAGAACAAGCCAATGGGCAACTTACCTTCACTGAGATGAAAAAGACAGGATGTCCTGTAAGTTGTGAGGCTGTAAGTTACTTTTAATGGAGTTTGTAGCACACTGTTTAAGATCATGATAGGAGTCTGTGCTGTATTTGCAGTTCCCTGGAACTCACGGTACTATCTTCATGAAAGATGTGAAAAAGGCTCCCTTAAGACAAAATACTTGTAGGTAACTGAATTTCTAAACAATGTCAGCCATCAGCATCATGGTCAGTTAGCTGTAAAGGCACCAGCCTATATTTTGCTTCAGTTGTTATTGCCTCATATATTCCTTGTAATAACTCACAGTCCCACAGGTTTGAAGTAATACAAGTGTGTAATTTCATAAAATTTAGCCTCGGTGACAGGGAGAAGACTCAGTCATCTTTTCCTGGGGTGAATATAACCACCCTGTTCTTCCAGCTCATAGGCCAGGCAGGTGATCCCAGAGAAAACAGCTGTTACCTCATTAGACCCAGGGGAATCCCTTTAGGCCGTAAGGCAAGAAAGACAATTCTTTTTTAGATTTTTAAAAAAATCTCTTTTATGATGACTGTTCTGGGGTTTGGTGAGAGTGAAGACCAACTGCAATGAATGAATGGGCTGAAGCTCTTGGAAGCAATGGATGGAGATTAAAGCTTTCCAGAAGCTGTGCTGATATCCAATTTGTAAACAATTTGGGGGTACCTCACAGACTCCTCATGATGCATGCCAGCAGGAATATTTAAATCCGACTTCCTTCAAAGTAGGCACTCCAATAAAAAGCTCCTTTTCAATCCTCTAAACCACTGGAAGAGCATGAGAGCACTAAGGAAAGGCAAAGCCTCAGGACCATGATTTCTGTGCTCTCGCAGGTAGTGCTGAGGATGCCATACCTCTGCTTGGAGGTAGAAGACTATAGGATGGTCCCTAATTAAGGCTCACACGTTAGATGCAATCTGCTTATACACGTCTTTACCTTGAAAGTTACAGAATGAAAGCGGTTCTAGAAACCTCTTCTGAAAACACCTTAGGATAGTTCAGCAGTCAGGCAATAAATCAGAGTCAAAAGGCACTTTCCATAGCTCAAGAAAAGCTGGCTATGAAGCATACTGGGAATTCACAACGTTTCACAAAAACAGAAAATACAACCTCTGTTTTTCAAGGTAGTACCTCGCTGAAAGTCAGACTGTGACACTCACACTGACGCCTACAGCAGCGATCAGCCTACTTTTATCTCAAAGATTCAAAGATTCAACTGAGCTTAAGCACGGATAACTTTTTTCTGATAAAACAACCAGGCCCAAAGACGCATGCAGTAACTTCCATTCACAGATACCTGAAAACTTTTATTATTATTATTTTTTTACTTCCAAACATATGCTCAGAAGCATCCATTGCATTGCTGGGGACCATTTAGTATGCCAAAAAAAGTTGAACAAAGTACCTCCAAAGCAAGGCACTTAAATTATTAAGTCAATTAAACTTCAAGTTAATCAAAGTCAGCACCTCCTCACTGCTATTCAGCTGTTTACAGTTCTACAGCCAAGGATATGAGGACCTCCCCATACACTAGACAGGGTCAGGACAAAACCACTGAACAATGATGCTCTTCCACGTTGAAGAGCAATGTGTCTTCAGTGTAACTTGGGTGGTACATCCTCACCAATATGTCAGTATTTATTTTTTTTTAACATGTATTTTGTATTGTATATGCTGCCTATTTATTACTGGGGGTCTGTATTTACATAAAATGGAAATCCAGCCAAGTGAACAGCAATGGCTGCTGCTATAAGCAAGTAGAAGTGACCTTGCTGGCTGACTCTGACCATCAGCACAATTCACCTTTGCTATTCAGTGAGCTGCTGCAGAACAAAAGCAGAACAGAAGAATTTTTTCTCCCTATTAAACATTTTACCTCAGTACCGTCAAGCATGAGTTCCGTTAAATCAACACATGCTAATTAAGAGTATTTTTCTTCAATTACCCTTTAAATTAATTGCTTTACATATCTCTGCCATGTTACATGTTGTTTAATTGCATCTTAAAATGCAAAAATGTAACCATTTAATTTCTTCTCATTTTTTCATGCTATGAAAAGTCATGGACTCTTTCTTCTTCTATTATCTCTTTATGGAAAAGGGTAATGACAAATGAATGTACTACTGAAGTGAAAGCAAATTATTTATATATTCAGGTTTTATATTAATTCATAGTTAGATAATCTCATCCTATATTTAGCACATTTTGAATTCCACTGAGGAGAAAAATGTCATTAAACACATGTTGGAACTGCACAGGGGACAACGAACTGAACACTTGATGTTGGGCTTTTCTTGATAAAATCCTTCATGAGGAAAAAGGAAGATTAATAGTCTGTTAGTAATGTTATGAAAGAACCCAGAATACATTTTAGAATATCTGAATAATCAACTCAGCTATGTCTTTAGAGTTACATTTAAACCCCACAATGAAACTAGAAAAATAGAGCTTTTTGGGTTTTTTTGTTGGTTTTTTTTTTTTTTGGTTTTTTTTTTTAGTTAGAAGTGCACAGAATTACCAAACTCAAGCATAAAATCCATTTTGAGGTAACTACTGTGGGCACGACTGAAGTTGAGCCTACATTCCAGTGCTTTATGACTTCAATACCACAACTCATGATGGGAACAAGTAGAAGCAGGACAGCAGAGTAAACGCAGCTGATTGTTAAATCAAACAACTTAGGCACTGAAACCTCCAACTTTCAGAATTCAAGATTTACAGTTTAGAATCACAGAACTGCTCAGATTGGAAAAGTCCTTAAAGATCATCAAGTCCAACTGCAACCTGACCTACTACCCTAACAACTCCCCACTAAATCAAGGCTCTGGAATGTTTCAGTTGTTCCCTAACAAAGCAAAAAAAAATATTTCACACTTTCATTTAGGATAGGCTAATGTCTCATTTACAAATAATCTTTAAAATCTAGAAAGGAAAGAAAATTCTGTATTTTTAGTCAAATTGCACCATTTTGCTTATATTTTTTTCATACGGATTTTGCATTTTGTTTCACTAAGACAACACAGAAAATGTTAATCCCAACTCCTTTTAAAGCTTTTTTGGGAATCCAGATACCATAGATACAGAACACTATTAAACTACAACCAGAACAATTCTCCTAATTCTCAAAAAGTCCTAAAATTATTCTGTCCTGACTACAGAATTGTTGGCATTCTATTTGTAAAAAAGGAAAGCAAGTAACAAAATAAGAAAAATTACTTAATTCTGCAGAATGGGTTTCATTAAGCAAAACAAGCAAAATAAAACAGTTGGAGTAACATTCATGCCATTATAAATCTAATTTTCTTCAGACTAAAGAACCGTATTAGGGATGGATCTAGGACAGGCAGACATTTATAGTGGAATATTAACTCTATTCAAGGTTTCAGATCCCTTTCTGGGTTTGTAATGAAGATGTTCACACCGAGCATCTGCAAATCACAATTTACTTCTCTCAGAACTGCAACTCACTTGCTTTTATTGATTAGCAACATCTTTTATTTGAGATCGGTGCCCTTTAATGACAGAAAAAGAACTCTGGAAGTAGTGCAAATACTTCAAAATCACCCACCTTCATAAATACATTATAAGAACTAATGAACAAACCAATTCTGTCTGGTGCGTGCTTTACAACTACTCTGATCCAGAACTGCTGTAAGCCCAGTGAACCAAACTGACGTACAAACCACAGCTCACTTTAAACTTTTGAAACAGCTTTATATGAGCTATATAATGAAAAGTACAGTGCCAAGTTTAGAACTGCAGATGACACTGACAGAGAAAGCATCTTAGCTCTTTCACCCTACGTTATCTGATACCTAAAAGATCTAACTATAACTAGCATATGCAAAATTTAGTGTAACTATCTATTTGGAAATTGGAGGGGAATATCTTTTTTCCTTCCACTTTATAACTCACTTCTTAAATTAAAATAATCATTGACTGAAATCTGCCTTGCTGCACTGTTCCAGTAAACAGCAGCTTCCCATACAAAGAACCAAGCGGCACACAGCAGGCACGCGCCGTGCTTTTCCACAAGACAGAGAAATAAAATCTTTGCTCAAATATTCCTACACGATGAAAACATTGCAAAGCAAAGACTGAATCAGTCTCTAAATTGCCATTTACCTAAAGAAAATTAAATTTGCAAAGATCTGACTTTAACAAAAATTGTCAATTACCACTTTGCTGCAAATCGCTCTAGCTTTAAACCACCAACATCATGCTTTGCTGATATTCATTTCACTCTGTAGTCCTAAATGCACAAGAGGCTGTCAGTTTCCCAGTGATTAAATTTCCTATTATTTCATTTCTTATTCTAGAATATATTATTCTATTTGTTTATTCTTTTAAAAGAATTTTTTTTTTTTTTTGAAAGCAAAGAATTGGCAATATCCATCAATAACCTTCTCCTATAGGAAGATAAAACTGTCATATCCTGAAAATGTGAGGCCTATACAGTCCCTTGGATAAATCTAATCCACTAGAAATTTACACTTTCACCCACGGACCAACAAAAAATATTAAATATACACATATATCACTAGCATTTTTCTAAACAAGCATTATTCTGAGCAATTCTCTTGAACGTGGATATTTACTGAAAGTGTTATGCAAAACACTGGTGAAGAAGTTATCTTCTTTCTCTGCAAGAGGCCAGGAACTTTTATGAACAAATTTGCAATAGCACTGTATGAGCTGTAAACCCCAAACTAATTGATAGTGATTTATATTTTGTGTGTAAAGAAGGATAGGAGAGAGGGAGAAAGAAAGTTTCCTACCATAGTAAGTGAGACGACCTCTTGCAATGTTTTTTCCTCTCGAGTTTTCAGTAATACATTCATACAGTCCTGCATCCTCCTGCTGGAAATTAGGTATTTCAATCATGCCATTGGATTTCCTTAGCTTTATTTTGCTCGGAAATGGCATACCGTCAGTTCTTCTCCAGTTAATCTGAGGCACGGGGCTAAACAGAAAATAATGGGATTTCATTAAATAACTTTGCTGCAAGTACTTGATTGTAAAAATTAGGTACTTAAACTAATATGCATTAAAGCCCTGAAGTAACTAAAGCTTGCATTAAAAGTAGTATTCATACTGTACATGACAGATGGTCAGACAGCATGGATGCTGACTTGCATATGCTGTTCTGTTCCTCAATGCTATTATTTATGGCATCAGATTTTTCACGAGTATCTGAACGTCCAATGACTGGAAAATTTCCAGTAAATCACCACTGGCCTCCCCTGAAGACAGGAGAGATTTACCAGTGTCCTCAAGGGAAGGGGAATCAAGGCAAGCCCCAGGTTCCATCCTAGAAGAGCCATTCATTCCCCGATAGGTAAACTTTCCCTCATCTAGCTGGGGAACAGAAGCAATAACATGTGATTAAGTTACCATTCTGGACTTTAAAATTATCAACACCTGACGAAGCTGCCTGCAAATAAACCACAGAGTGGTTACTAAATACGTTTACAGAAACATAAATGCATTCTCAAATCATTTATGAAGGAGAAAAGATAGCAATTGTGTGTGAAATGTCATTGAGAAGAGGAACGCATATAGATTTCAGCTATAAAAGAAGGACAACATTAGGAAAGCATCAGGTACATTTAACAGTAAAATTCAGTCCTAATTGTCACTGACTTCAACAAGAGTTCCTTTATACTGAGAAAGCAGAGCTACCTCAAAGGACATCTGCAAAACTCACTGAGATTCAAGAGAATCTGAAGCGAAACATAAATTCCTGCATTGCAAACATGCACATTTTAATTCCAAACAACAACAGAAGTGTCTTCAAGGCTCTTTCACATCTTATTCCAAAGCAGTAAAAGTGATGGTCAAAACTCGATCTTTGGAGAAGACTACCAAAAAGATGGTGCTAGATGCCCACATTTGTTGTGCAAACGAACTCCAACACACTTCAGCTTTGCAGTATGGGTGAAGATGAGAACTTACTTTCCTAGAGCAAAGCATTCCAGTTTCACAGTCGAGCCTTTCGCTGCAGGAAGCGTCTCAGGAAACTGAACTTCTATTTTGGGTTCATATTCTCCCATCACACCTATGCAAGACAAGTGAGAAAAGACATTTTTCATTTTTCAAGCCATCATTCTCTAAAACACTGAATAACATCACATTCAAAATTTATTTCTCTTGCGCTCCATTTAGAAACTCGCGCATGGTGACCTTACAATGAAATCACTGTCAGATGTAGCAGAGGAACGCACAACAAAAAAATAGTTTATCTTCTTACAAGCAACCAATACTGTGAGACTGCACCAAAGCTCACACTGCCACAAAAAAACACTGACTGGAAACTAGCTGTTCGTAACACAGTGAAAGCAGTGTTATTTCGAGCCTGGGAGAAGGAAAGCCGTACCATCAGTGCGCAGCACGAGAGGGGTTGGTGACCCAAGGACCTGGCTGTTTGTCACAGTGCTGGTTACAACACAGGTGTAATTTCCCACATCTGAAGGTTCCACTTTGGCGATGTAGAGGTGACCGGTCTCCTGAGACACGAATCGCCGGCTGTCCTCTTGGACAAATGATGGATACTCGTTGAAGATCCAAGCAAATGACAACTCTGATTGGTTATAAAATAAAGATATAGTTTGGTAAGGATGGTTTTTTTCCTCCCCCACATTTTTATCTTCAAAAGTCTTTATTTTACTGCATCTTGTAACATGATTATATATAATATTATGTAACAGGACCAGAGAACCAATGACAGAAAAAAAAGCACCAAAGCATCAGAAACAAGCAAAACTAAAAAAGCAGACAACTTCTTTGACAAAGCCTCCTGCTCCAGAAAAACACAACAACAATTCCAAATCTTTTACCATAGAATCACAGAATGGCCTGGTTTGAAAATTACCACAGTGCTCATCCAGTTCCAACCCCCTGCTGTGTGCAGGTCACCAACCAGCAGCCCAGGCTGCCCAGAGCCACATCCAGCCTGGCCTCGAATGTCTCCAGGGATGGGGCATCCACAGCCTCCTTGGGCAACCTGTTCCAGTGCCTCACCACCCCAAGTGAAAAATTTCCTCCTAATATCCAACATATACCTCCTTTGTCTCATTTTAAAACCATTCCCCCTTGTCCTATCACTATCCAAAAGTGATATACAAGGATCGTTATACTTTTTTTTTTTTGAGATATCACAAAAATGAGACCACAATTTGTTAAAAGGGAAATATCATTTATTATCTACAGCCCAGCTAGATACCCGAGAGAAAAAGCACTGGCATATGCAGCTGAAAAGAATGTCCAAAGATCTGTAAACACCTGGAAAAGCTCAGCACAAAGTAAAACTACATTTTTCACAGAAAAGTTTGATCTCTGCATGAAACAGCAGTTCTTTATGGACACTTTAAAGGAAAACTTCACTTGAAAAGATAAATCAAGGAGATTGGGCATAAATTACATGTAATTATTTTTCTCTGAATACAGTTCTGAGCTGTGCAAAAGCCCCTTCCTGTGAGAGGCCGTGTGCCTGTTGCATTCATATCCTACAGAATGAAAGGAAATTAATTTTTAATGGTTTCCCAGGCAAGAAATAATTTTTCACCCAAGTGCCACTCAGCTGAAAGTTTATGAAAAGATTAGAGCTTCTACAAGTGCTAATTGGAAACGATTATGGTTTGATTGACCTGCCTTGGCACTGAAGTATCTTGTAGCATTTGCACTGCCCCTACAAAATGGAGATCATCCATTTTTTTGCACGGATTTAATTTGGAAGTGCAGACGTTTGGATGTAATTGCAAAAAGAAGAGCAGGTATTTTCATAACTCCCATTTCTGAGTGTGAACAGCCAGGAAAGCACTAAGCCAACAGCATAATTTAACAAAAGGCAAGATACTGCAGATAAAAAACACTCAATAAATTAAATTATTAAAATATTTATGGACTGGTTAATGTAAAAAGGGCATCAAATGAAATAGCTCATAATTGCATTTAATTTTCTTCTATCAATATTTAAACTCCTTCCATTACCATAATTTTGCTGGAACAGTGCATGTCAACAACCGACATTCTCAGTTATATTCTCAAAAGTTAAACTTGCATTCTAATGGGATTTTTTTTGTTGTTGAAAATAACCATCTACCCTTCTAGACACACCACGCTTCCAGTGAAACGATGCACTCACCTAAAAGTTGCTTCCTATGTAATTTGAAAGGTTGAATTTATTGTAACAGAGGCCAACACAGGTTTGTTATGAAGAGACAGAGCACTTACTGGAATGGGAAGGGAAACCCTGTGACAGTGTGACTTCAGCAAGACGTCTGAGATGTGCCCCAAGAGTCTCATAAGAAAGTCATACACATACAGTCCACAACAACACAAGTCGTGTATAGCTACTCTCCTATCTTACAACAAAGCCACCGAGATGCAGCATCAGTGCTTCATCGTTACAGAGAGGGATGAGTGAGCAAACTGCAGCACTGAGGGGCACCACTGATGGCTCTGCTCACAGTCAGCACCATGCAATACTCCATCAACCACAGAAAAACTAAGTAAGTAAATAAATGAAGCGATGCAGCAGGTCTACAGGGTTTGAAAGGGACCACAGCCTCTTTGTATGGTCTTACTAAATGGAAAAGGCTAGAAAATCATATTTTGCCATAGCAGTGAGGGAATGAGAGCAATTTTAAGACAGAGAAAACTGTAGCACAAACTAGGTATCAATGCAGGAACATTAGGGAAAAAAAAAAAACAAAAAAACCTCATTTTCAGCTTTGTATCAAATTCAGATATCTGAAAGACAACAGTATGGGAAGCCAGGCTTTATCAGTTCTGGTACTTACTGAGCTACTGGCTTTGATGAACTCAACAGAGATGGCCACATCTGCATACTCAGCAGGAAAATAAGCAGCTTGGTTCTGTTACCATTATACTGGGTTAGGCTGAGAGTAAATTCAATGAAATCAGTCCTTACAGTTACAAAAGCCATGCAAAGTATATTCCAGTTCAATTAGATCCTTCAATGGCCTGTGAATGAGCACCCCTGGAAACCTAATTTCCCATTATACATATATTTTCATCGACTCCATTAAAAATGGAGAGTGGCATTTCTTTCACCAGTGCCCCACAGCCACCATCTCATTCTATATTTACTGTGTCTTACAAAACAGGATTCTGATTTTTCTCCAAAAAATTCACATTAAGCAACTTGTTCTGTGATTTATTATGTTTACACCCTTTGCTTGTTGCACCTCAAGGGACATAAACTCACTTCCTCTCTGTCAATTACAAATTTTCAGTTGATTTTCTGTTATAAATGAAAGCAATACATCTCTCCTGGGCTTCCTCAGAGAACGAAGCCTTCGCTTTCCAATGCATTTTTTTCCTTATTTGGAGACTGTACGTGGATAAGGTATTAGAAATTACTGTTATTACTCAATTTTTATTTGTTTGCTACATCTTGGTTGGCTTCTACTATTTATTTAGTATTATTTGATTATTATTTACTGTATAGTCTACCACCCACAACATGCTCATACTGTTCTAGGCACTCTGTGCACTTAAGGGCTCAATTAGAAAACATTTCATAAAATTGCCTGTCACTTTTAAACTTAAATTATATAAGGTTCAACAATTAAATCAGTGTGACTGTCAGGGTCTACCATGGTCATTTTCTGCCTTACGTGAGTTTTGAAAAAACACCACTTCCCATATAACAAAAATGAAATGTTGCTAAAGGTACATAGGGGGAGGTCAGCCCCAGAAGTATAGCAGCTTCTGTGTTCAACATTAGCTCTTATGTTCATGTCAGTGTTTCTGGAAAAGAAAAAAAAAAAAGGCTTTTAATTAAATTGCACCTTTTTGTTTTAAGACAGCAAGCACATCAGTGGGGAAGCACTGAGTGGAAGTGGGAAGATTTTATTACAAACAGAATCTAAGAGAGAATACTGGCTTGGGGAAACCAAAACTATAAGGAAATTCAGGATGACAGCAAAGCAAAAGCCTGAAAACAAAAACACAGGTAGACAAAGGAGAAAGATAATTCATAAATTTTGGTTTATACACTTAAAGCCTACATTCTGAAGGTTATTTTCTTTGGGACAACTCCCCTACACCTACTTAATTCACGCCAGCTAGTTCCATAATTCACACCTGATGAGATTTCTAAGACAGCCAAAAGTTGAAGATATGAATAATACTGTTCTGATACTGACTGAAATGTCTTATTTTCAAACTGACTGGGTTCTGGTTAGGGAAGTGGATGCTTCCATAAATAATCCTGAAAATACAGCAATGGATGCTGGGAGTGCATTGTGCTGACTCAGCAACAGGTTTTTTTCTGGTTATTTTATATTTGGTTGGTCTGCTGTTGTTTTCAAACAGATGATGTCTCATATCACTCACTGAGCTCAAAATCTCCATTATTTCATGCAGTTGTGCAATTCATATTTTACAATATTCTGTAATAGAGACATAAGAGGAAGCTGAAGTAACTTGCTATTTTCCCTATTAAAATTCTGCCTAAACCACACGATGGCATATGGCTTTTAAAGTGTTTGCAAGGGAGTAATCAGAGAAAATTTAGCAATGACACCAACTGCAATTAAAGACACGGAAATCTGTAAAAACCAGGAATTTTGAATTATCTGCCTTAGAGTTAAAATTAAAAGTAATGGAAAAGTACCACTGATTTTGAGAGGGTAATGAGAGATGACATAACTAAGAAAGAAACCAATTAGCCCCACATCTGCCCCAACTTCAACTCCCACTGTGAAGCACACGGCAGTGCACAGCAGAAACATCTCAGGTGCTGGAGGTGAGCATCCTTAGGAAGCAGTGAGCTCTGCCCTGGGCCACCAAGTGCTCATGCACACGGCTGCTAAGGCACGAGTGCCCATTTGGCAGCACAGAGGAGCACAGCTCCATGCACATGTTCACATGGACATGTGCAGCACTGAGCCTGTCTGCACGGAACTCCTAGCAACGTGGAAACAAATTAATTAAAAGTAGGAAATTAATCTGCATGTGGTAAAAATGCACTGAACACCCACTTGTCCCATCCTCCTGCAGCCAGCTAGCAGGTCAGGCTTGGTTCCTGGAGTTCAGTCAAAAAGAAGAGGTCATTATTTTTGTTACGAAATAAATCATGCTTAATTTTTTTTTTTTTTTTGTGGCAAACACAAATGGCAGCTTCACAAGCAAAAATCTCATGCACTGCAACTGTAAGACAAAGGGATGATGCCCTCCAATACAGGATCCCCTAGCATGTGCAAACTGCACATCACAATCCATTTGGGTGCTGCTGTCAAAAATGATAGTTTGAAAAGAAAAAAAACTCTTTACATTATTAGTGTAAATAAGTTGTACATTATTTCAGGGCTTTATTGCACACTCCTAGGCAACTAAAATACCCACAGCCTTGAACACTGGCCTAAGTATGCTCAGCTGGGAAGAAAACCACCACCACCTCCTCCCTCAAAAAAACCTCAAACCAAACCCTTAAACACTCCACATTTCTGTAGGGAGTCCTTAACCATTTGTTTAAAAGTAGTTAAACCACTAATAATGCAATAATATTTAATACTTATACAAGCCACAGTGAGAGCTCACACTATGGTCTAT